TCGCCACCTCCCGCGATAAAAGCATGCCCACACACACTTACCGGAGTAACGACCTTTGCGCCTGACGCGCCCTTTGCGGAAACTCGAAGCAATCAATACAAACTCCGAATCGTTAGTCTCAATTGTTTATTTCTGGGGGTGGGTGAATATAGGTACGCCTACCCCTAGCCACGCGATAAACTTGTAGGGGGTATGTGAACAACTTCCATTGGAAGATTTGAAGAATGAACTTAACTGAAACTATCGAGTGTATTCTGTATTTTCACGAAACTAAAGACAATGTGCAGATACAAGTACTTCCTATCCTCTTATTCTAATCTCTTAATGGTAGGATAATGAAAGTTGTGAAATGCAGTAAAAAGTCGATGTCAAGATTTTTGACGGAAATACAGATTGGGGATTCCTCGCACGTAAAAGGAGTTTTCTGAAGCGCCCAAACAGCGCACAGACGTCTTTATCAAAATGTATATTCTTCGATCGATTCGGCTTAACTTGAGGCTCTGCAAATTTGAAAAGCTTTTAATGCTTTTAATTTATAAGGGTTAAAAATAAAACACGAAAAACACGTTTCTCGTATCTCCGCAACAGATTGCCCTAGAAGGCTGATTTTTTGGAAATCTGCGGCATTTTTTTATTCTTTTTCATATGAGAACCGGGATTATCGATTTGGTTTGGGTGCACTTTTCACCGCCTTGTCCGACTACACACTTTCAATAAACGATTTTCTAACATACTTTATCTGTGATTGAAAAATGAATTAGCCACCTTAGTAGCAACCCTAACTATTGTACTATGAAAGTGGGGTTCATAAAAATCAATAGTTTTAAACATATTTTTACGTTCTCACCTTACTACGTACTTATATAGTCAAAAGAGCAAAAGCAAGTAATTCGGCAAAAATCGGCGATTTTTCGAAAAAGAAATTCGTATTGTGGGCCCTGGTATCGGAGAAGAGGATAAATCTTGTTCCTGTTTGTAAAAAATGATTTCCTTTAACCCGTTGTGAAGTCAGAACTAACGTTTTGGGACCGTTGATAGCTGAACACTGGTTGATGGCAAAACGTCTGTTTACCCCTCTCTCCGTTCGGGTCTGTCTGTGGCCAAGGCTTACAGCTAATTGTCTTTTCATCATTACCTACACAAGGAACATTTTTGAAAAAATGTATGGTTTACTTTTCTCTAAAAAAAATAACTTTTTTCACTTCTTCCCTCGACAATCCTATTTTGTTTTTTGAGCGTTACTGCCATTAAAGGCTTTTCGCAAAGAAAACTTGTTTTAAGTACGGCCGTTGTAAACTAGTTTTAAGAATAAATGGTCATTTGAATAAATGGGCCATGGTTGGAAATAAACGTGGGCTAAATTACGACTACCAGAAGATATTTTGTATAAATTATGGACATATGCTTTCCATCTCTAGAGTAAGTCTTTAGTGCATGCCTCCTTAATACGGTGTCGCCATCTTACGCAGCTATAAACCAGGAAATATCTGCACACTGCAATGATAGCAATTCCAAGCTGACACTGATTATTTGGGATTTCCTAAATTGTCGCTTACTAGCAGCCTTTCGCCAGGTCGAAGGATCGCCAGTGACATCAAATACAATAAATATGATTACATTTTCACAGGCACCACTAACGATAATGAGAATGGATATCCAATGCGTCATTGAGGCACGTCTGGATGAATGTTTACAAAAAAGCCTATTTACGAAGTTGTTTACATTGCTTTGGGATTTCGTTCCTAAAGACTGTCACATCTCTAAACAGGATGAATAAAATCAATGGAATTTGATGAAATACAATTCGTCGTTCAACTAGTTTAAGCCAAATATATACATTTTTAGAATAGACTACTTTCCTATTGACACAGAGTGCTTTTCTGGAAATGCAACATTTCCATGTACATTTGTACAAGGTTAGAGGTTCCATTTGCTAGTTATGATCAAACGAGGCTCGTGTGAATCCTGCTAGGCAAACCTTCACACCCCAAACTCTGTAACAACTCCCCGAAACAACGGAGGTTCCAACTCCAAAGGAAATAGGCTCCCTTCGAACCCCCTCTACGAATAAAATTTGGGAGGGGGGGGGCGACCTTCCCCAAAATTGGACAATGATTATTAAATCAAAACTTGTCATTGCAAACAAGAAATGGAAAACAGTGGGAGCTTTGGGGGAAATCAAGTGTACTACGATGATGTTCAGGTGTGAGGAAGCGAATGTGACAAAAAGTGCCTTATATTTTATGCTGAATATCACGAAGAAAAGATTATGCAGTTTTTTACACCTCACACAGACAATTGAGTGCAAATGTCACTCCCGGACGCACAATTCATACAGACCGCCGGCTCGCCAGCGCAGACACCCTGGTTTCTGCAAGAGCATTGCCTCGATTAACCTGCGAGGAAAACATGCCACACAGTAGAAAAATGTGTCTGCGGTGACACGGCAGCCGCTTTGAAATGGGCGCCTGGAGGCGTCATTTATATCCAATGTTTTTTCTGCAGGAAAATCCTTTCCGCCATTTTCCATCAAATGTAAACATCTGAGTTTCTTCCACAATTGTTTTCCGGAGAGGGAGAGGAGGTGTCGAGTGACTGAAGGCAGAGCACTTGGAAACTGAACAAACAATCGCGTGGGCACAGCGTGTCTGCCCTTATGATACATTCGAGAAGAGCATCTCTACACCCGTACCCTCGGGTGGAACTGACTATTTTTCAGATGGTTGTCTGGAGCCTAGGGAGGGAATTAGCTGTCACGAGCAAAACTGACACCAAAAAATACTTTGGACAATATGTGCCTCAGAATCCTGGAACATGAGACACTATGACGCACTAATATTGAGAATTCTACGTTTATTCATGATTCATTTTGATATAGATCGCATATCATTTTACGTGACTCACATTTCAATTCTGCTTCATATTAATTAAAATCTTTTCAGTTATACATTTCAGTTTACAAAGTGCTTTTCGCCCTCTAGAAAAAAAACTCCAGAAAATGAGGGCAACAGCAAAGAAAATAATTTATCAAAATTTAACTCAGAAAAAAAATTCATACCTCTTTCACGGCCTTGTCACGCCAACAAATAAGTTTGGGCATTGTAGTTATTGGGTCTTTAGTAACTTTAGCAATTTTAAATTGTGGAGATAATCGAAAATGTGTTCCAATCCAAATGTTTACAATGCGAGTGTGCGTACTGTATATATACGCACATTTCTTTGGATAAGAGACATTTGGCTCGAAACCAACATACTGGTCATCTAGAATAACTCGCAGTTGAGGGGCGTGTTATATATGTTATTTGTTTCAGTATAGCGTAAAAAATTACACCATCGGATTGTTTAATTGATGTCATAGGCTTTATGTGTACAACTGCAATATCAATTACCTGTCTCCTCCAAAGAAAAATTGTTCAGAAGCCTAATATAAGGCCTGTCTGAGAGCAATATTATTAAGAATAATGTAAACACAGCAAAGTAAAGAAGTATATTACAATTGTATTTCTCTTTCAAAAAGCTTCGAGGGTTTGCGATACTCATCACCTTTTTTTCAGTCACCTTACGTATCTCAGCAAACGTCTCGCTCGAATTCAAATTACATTATCTGCCAACTTTTCAGCTTCACTAAGATATCATTCTACACGCAAAGCATGGCATCAATATGTCAAAGTGAAAACAACCTGACCAACGAAGCTCATTACCGCGAACTTTGTGTTACTCTTTCTATCCTAAACGAGGTGGAATACATTTTCATGGTTATAATGTTCCGAAGTACCTCGAGGAAACATATATACATGCTTCTTCTCAATATCCATTCATTATTTAAAACATTTAAGTAGTTACGAGAACTACAGAGTTAGATCGATTTTCACAGATCTCTCTCGGGTCATCGACATCGAGAGCTCCAGATTTGCACATGAACACGAGGCGTCAATACTCAATAGTTGGCCGACACATGTAAAAGGATTTTTTTTGCCACTGTGTGAGGCCTACAAAAGTCATATCTTGACATTCAATGAGCAAAGAATTAGTCATCACAGTATTAAACGCAGAATGTTTTGGGGGCGTGGCAGAGATTTCAAACAAATTTTGACGTTTGTGTTTTTCTACGAATGGCGAACATAAACAAAACATAGAAAATTATTTACATCACAACATTCCGTAAAACATGGAACTGAAACGAGGACACTCGAGAATTATAGGAAAATTTCGTCCTTACATTTATTCATCCGAATCAGGGTAAGCAATTAGTGTCAAACGTTTAACTCACAATAAAATTCGGTGAAATGTTTCATATTCCTCCAAAAAATAGTGAGATATAGTTCAGTTACACAAACATTAGTTTCAAAAAGTCAATTAGAGCTACTGGGGTGTAGCCACCGGTTTCATTTTCATGATTTGGGATAGTCTATAGTCGAAATTTTTCCACACGGGGGCAAATTGTGAGAAATTGACAATTAAAATCAGCATCTCCGTGTCTTTAATTTTGAAATTATTTAAATCCACTGTACGCTTCACACAATTTTAACAACTTTATTTACCAATGGAAATAATTAGAATTAAGCTGCTGAATTAAGAAAGCTGAAGAAGAGTCAGAAAAAATGGGCTTTCAAATGGATTCACTTTATGAATGGCATCCGCGAGATTCACGTACGAAGAACCTACCACATTCATTTTCAAATATTACTTTCAAAACCAGAACCTAACTACTCACTGTACCAATTCCCTTATGGAAAATCTGATTTCATGCGAGGAATAGTCATTCTCATTCTCCAAACAATTCTGCAACCTCATTAAACGCAGATCCAGCTAGTGATTTGAACGCACAGCTACCGCCCACTCTTTCATAAAATGCTCATCCAGCTAAACAGTGAACTCCGCCTCAGGACTTCCGACGCAGCGTTTCACGAAGCGAATCAGCAGCACTAAGTAACACCTGTCCCACATATCGAAAACGAGTGAATTCTTGATATGAAAGTGTATTCAACATAGTCACTTACCCATGTTTGATTTTATTCCAGAATTTGTCATTTTGAAGATGTTTTTCACAATTTGTCCTAATCCACCATGCCGACCACTGCACACAAAACACAGCAATGAATACCTCCGACCACTTCCAACCCACGACAGGTAGGCAACGCACACTTGTTTTCTGCTTATTTTCTTCCTTGGGCAGTAGAGGGGGCTGACTACTTCCCCCACTCTGGAAGGCCACGCGGATGACTCATTAAAAGTCCACATAGTTTCTGGTAGAATGCGCCACTAGCTAGCCTGCCCTCTGGCGGGAACAACAAACTAAATTAATTGATCGCTAGCAGAGTTACTTTTTAACACTGCTTATAAATGAATGAAATCGTTTTTATCAGTACTTATCTTCGTCCTCAGTTAATAAAAAATTAATGTCCTGATATGCAGTGCAGGATAATTATATCTCATTTGACATATTTGCCTTACCACTTCAAAATAAGCCAAGTAGAAAACGCTTATCAAGTAATTTGTAATTTGATATGATTATCCCATTCCAATTGTACACCTCAACTTTCAAACTTCATATATAAAATCAAACATTTTATAAACAAAAGATTAATGATAAAATTGTAACTTCAAAACCACTGAAATACATTCCTTTTTAAATTGGAGTACACAAGTTAATTCCTGAAAGCAATTTTTAGCCTGAAACAGGTCGCCAGCAGATCTATTGTGAGGATCCTGAGTGTTACCAGTGGTTTTTAAATTTTGAAACACATTCACCACATCTTGCTTTCCATATTATTTTGAACATTTGGGTAAATAATAGAACAATTTACAAAGGATAAAATAATTTTAACAACTTCATAAAAACACAAAAAGTAATATTTATTTATAAGTTAATTACATAGATCTCTGATAAGTTTCCTACCATTAAAATGGTAATAAACTTCTATCTTGGGGTTATGCACATAGCTCTCGTTTTGCGCATGATTATATATATATATACATAATCCATCTCTTACATAATCCATAATCTTGGATTTTGATATTTCACTATGCTGTTATAAAACATTTTCACTTTCACTTACAACTCCATGAAGAAAGCTGTACATAACTTACTCACAATCATCCCCGATTGTCCAATTTTCAAATTCAGTCCTCTTACACATTTAATTCATCGGAAAAGAGAAAGACGTCCTCGCCCACCAGGCATCCTGCCTTCCTCATTCTGAAGTCCACTTTGCACATCGATCAAAGTGGGCAACTTGTTAACCTCTCCTCTTGCAGCTAATGACGGTTGTGATCGCAATAATCTCTTTGCGACTCTCTCTATGTCCTCTGGCGTAACTTTCTCTGAAAACGAAGATTAATTTTGATGAGTTACCTATTTACATAATAGTAAGGTAACATATTTTCAAAAAAATATATGAATACCTATAGCATTAATAAAGAACTCTGGTCTCTTTCTCTGTCCAGTTGCCAACACTTGTCTTCCTATATCTTCAAATACAACCGGACGAGCCTCCAGATTCATTAGTAACATCGATTGCAATTGAGTCTTAGCTCTCTACAAATAAAAATGTACACTTTAATATTACTCTAGAGCTAACAAGAAGAAATGGCTTCAAAATAAAAGGAATTTCAAATTCTATAAATAGACAAAGTCAAAATTCTAGTTAAAAAGAAATTTAAAAGCAACCCTCTCCCCAAACTGCATTTTGTTAGAGTTTTCCAGAACAACAGAGTTCACATTTTATAAATCAGTGCAAAAAAGAAGTTTTCTTTACATTTTGCACATTAATTTTCTTCAAATTTTTATACAATGAATTATTTGGTGTATGAGCGTCACTGGATACAGAATCAATGGAGACATCAAAAAGTGTTTTATTTCATATCTTAACAATAGAAAGCTCAAAGTAAGGTATAATAAGCACAGATTATTAGCACTGACTTCAGTGTTCCGCAAAGGTCAGTTGGGGGTCTAATATTGTTTATAATTTATATTAATGGCATAAACAAGAATATGAAAAACCTATTTGATAATGATTGTGAAATTCCATTATGCACTGATGACACTTTATTGTGTGTAATTGGAGAAACAGAGGCACAAATTGAATTGAAACAGCTGAGAGTATTTATTGAAATACATGGTTAAGGCCAAACAAACTAATTATGAATGTTGAAAGATCTAAATTTTTGATTTTACATAATGGAAGAAACAGAAGGGAAACTAAATTATTCACAACAGACTTAAAGGAAATACAAATGATACAAAATGATACACAAAATGAAATATTTGCGAGTATCAATAATATATTAAATTTAAAAGTTTAAATAGCTACATAGTAAAGAAAATGGGAAAAACTATTCATATTTTTAATAGAATCGAGTCATATATAAATGGCTATATGAGATGTTTAAATTATAAACATAAAAGTAGAATACTAATTTTGTAAATAGGTAACTGAGTAATAAGAATAGGTAACAAAGGATAAATCTATCAAATAAAAATCTAAAAATCCACAAGCATTGACCGTGATTTTGCCGGGCAATAGTTCAGAATGCGTCAATACGGAGAGATCTCAAGCAAACAGTATTGTAGTAAGTGACATGCAACATTAAAATGAATAAAAATTATAGATTTTGTAACACAATGCACTGATCAATGAGGCCTTGTGAATTCTTGCTTCAACGTCTGGCGATTGCAAATCCACATTTTGCTAGAGATGGAAATGATAAAAAATTTCCATTAACAGAAGAAAGCATTCCCCATAGAAGCACATGAAAAATATTTTCTCAGCAAAAACTTTTCAAACTTGGAAGCTTGAGCATTACTTGCACAATGGCATTCACAGTTTACAACATTATCACTTCAACATCAAATGATACATATTTCAACTCTTTAAAACTTCAAAGGCCACAAAATAAAGCACGAAAGAGCAAAAATCTGGTGACAGAGAAGGGAATGACAAATGTAAATTCAACACCCAAAATCTTTTTGGAGGAAGGGGAGCTAAAAAGTCACAGAACAATGCAGAGGACCAAACAGAAAGAAACAGTGATACATGTGAAGATAATGTGATATACATGTGAAGACAATGTGATGGTGGTCACAAAAAAACGTGATTAAGATAATGCTGAAGGGTAGTAGCTCCATTTCCTAAAACATATTTCCCTGCCCTTTCCTAGTTTAGGAGGATTTAAAATTTTTTTCACATAAAGATATGTAGAGTACTATTTAAAAAAAATATTAAAGCAAGCGTAAAACCAATTTGTCAGCTCTCTGATTTTGCTCTTATAAAGTACACATTAAAAAAACTCAAAAACTTAAAAATTGAACAGAAAGTAAGAACTATTTTTTTTTTAAGGAATAATATCTATATTCTATAACCATCTAAAAATTTTCTCTATCATCTAGAGATTCTTCCACAAATTCTTGACTTTTCCTAGTTTTCCAGAAAGTGATCATCCTGTTTTAAGGAACAAGAAAATAATGATAGCTCAGGCAATTCTAGGGTTTAAAATACTCATCTACAAGGCAAATTTCTAGTCAATTAGACAGTTTACTATTTCATTTTCACTAAATAATAATAAGAAGTTAAAAGTCAGGAGGCCTCTTCACAATTAAGGGGTAGTCTTCTATTCAGATCAACATATATTTGAGTAAATCTGGTAAAATCCCTAGTGATCTCAGTTGTTTGGATTGTTTCTACCAGTTTCTTGGAAATTCAATATTCTTAAAAAAAAATTGATTGAAGGTATATACCATGATCAAATTCCTAATCAGTCCATCGTAAATACAGTAAAACCCTGTTTTTACGATTCTGAATTTTGTTTTCCTGCCTTTTACGTAATTTTTCGTTGGTCCCATCAAAAAGCCTATATTTACAATGCATTCTCTTCCTGCAATTTACAACTTAATAAGAAAAGGGAATCCCATCTTTTATGAAATTGTTTCATTCGTTACTTTCACGTATACGTACATATTATCTGAAGTGCAAAGAAAGTAATGTAATGCTGTGGCAAAAAACAGTGATTTTTCAACAGAAAAACTCCTACAGATACATAGAAAGTGGATAAATCCTGTTCCAATATGTTGCAAATTACTATAACTAGTTCGAGTTCATTATTTATTTTTATATATATTATATATATAATGAACTCACAAAAGCCTTAAGTTCAATCAGATCGATCAAGAAATATCAATTTTGGAGAAAATCAGCTGATGGTTTAGGCACTAGCATTGATCACAGATGGACACACACAAGTTTAGCAGTCAATTGATTTTGCATCTTCAAGGATCCACAAAACAGGGATTCAGGCTACATCGTGTGTTAGAGGAAGTAATTTACTTTATGTAGGAATATGATTAAGTACTCGCCTAATCTATCATTCTTGCAACTATCCTGTATTTTACACTTTTATTCATTGCCAGGGCCTGTCATAAGAGATTTTCGGAAGAAATACACTGTTTCCGGCGCAAGATTTTACTTTCTCTTCTAACATACGGTAAGAAAGTAAAAACACAGCCATCATTACAATAAATAACGAAAGTACTCGCCTAGCCTATCATTTTTCAACTATCCTGTATTTTACACTTTTTTTCATCAGTCCCCTGAATAGTATAAAAGAGGGATTTTACGTAGGCACATACAGTGAAGCAGCGCCCAACACGCCTGTATTTAACATAATAATAATAATAATAATAATAATAATAATAATTTAAACAGACACTTCATCATTTAATGTTAAAAGAAAGAAGTAAAGACTTCAGAACGTATGCTCTACAAAAATATATTTTTACCTGTAACTCAACATCTCCTATCTTTCCAGCCATGTTCACCATTTCACGCACTATGACCTCAACCATATCACGCACATGAGAAGGAGGTGCACTGGCGTGAATGCAAAATAACCCAGTGTCTCCATATGCATGATTATAAGCTGTTGCATTGTACATCCAATGATACCTGTAAATTGTATTATTTTTATTGTGTTTTTGTCATCATTATATTTTAAACAGCTTGAGCAAACTTTAAAAAATACTGATAAGATTTTTTTCAAATCACACACAATAAGGTGTTTAAAAAATCATACTTCACAAAAACAATATTTTTAACATTTTGTCCTTTCCCTTCTTTCAAAGAATTCATCATTTTACATTGCTGATTCAAAGTAAAAATGTTCCTTTCCAAAGAAATTAACAAATAATTTCACAATGTAACAGGAAAGTTCATTGATTTAAATAATTTGATTTGCATGAACAATACCCTCATTTCCTAAAAAATTTATTAAATTTTATCTTTTTAAAATTTATCATTTTAATTAATAAAATAATGAATTTTTAAAGTAACAAAAAACAAAAAAAAAAATTAAACACTAACTTAATATTTGCAAAACAAGATGCTTTGGATTACTAAAACTTGTAAAACAAAACAAAATACACAGGTTTGCAGTATCCTTGGTTTAATCACACACCTCATCCTGCATAATTGGTTAAGTACAACTGACCTGTTTAAAACATTAGTATACAATCTTGTGTACATTCCTTTGCCTGGTCCTCCAGCACTGAAGGATCCACCACCACCCATCATCATATTAAGTACACAAATTGGAATAAAGTCTGGATCCTGATGAGAACATCCTTCCAAAGCTAACACCACATGGGCCAGTTCTGGAAGACCTGATGGGCCCGCAAATAATGGGATTTCACATACTTCCTAAAAGCAACAAATAAAATTGATATTACTAAAATTAAAATTAGTATCTTACAGTTATATATCTTATTTATTTATTATCATTACATTAGTAAACCACCTCAAATGAAGTTGACAATTCCATGTTGTAGACCCTAGACAAATATTAGCATTTTTATTTTTTTTATACATGCACTAATTAGCACAAATCCCATCTCTGGGCTCAAGTACTCCACTTAACTTTCTTTTGAAGATACAAATACATGGGCTTCAGTGCAATAAACTGACAACTAGCCAAAAGAAACCTGCATAGGGTTTAGATCAATTTCATTTGCAAGGAAAATTTTGCTTTCAGAAAGTAACACAGAGAAACTCTGATTGCAATGACAAAGTTAATAGAGATAAAATAAAATGATAAAAGGCTAAAATAGGGAATTTCATCTCTAAGACTTGAAGGTCAGTGCAGAAGTAAGTTTCCCTTCAAGTGGTTTCAAGACTTCAAGGAACCTGTGAAAATGTATAACTATATCACGCACAACATTCAAGCAGAAGGTAATATCAATATTGTTACTTATACTGCATTTCTTTCAGGTCTAATTTTAATACAAGTACTTATATGTAAATGTTTGAGTATTGCATAAAAATGAACCTATTTTAGATACCGTAAAAATTTACTAATTGTTATTACAGCTATTAACATACCTAATAATGTTATGAATGTTATTGCAGAAGCCAAAAGTTAAAAATCATGGTTGAGCTTACCGAAGCCAAGATCTTTATTAGGACAAGGCAGTAATAACATTACAACATTTCATGGTTTGCTTTTTATTGGTCACCATAAAATCTCATGATTTATGTGAAAATTTAAGTCATTACTGCGATAGTCATCAAATAAATTATTGCTGCGACAGACATTGTGGGTTAGTATGACAATGTGGGGTTTGCTAGCGAAGATATTTATTTAAACAATATTTCTACATAGTGGTTTAAGAAAGATGGAAGCAAATTATTCTATCGCTAAAGAAATTACTTCTAGTTGCAACACCTTCATATCGTTAGTACATAATGGAGAAGAGCTTCATTAGGTGGAATGCCCGGAAAATGATGTTAATTTACCTTATAAACATTTTTCTTGTTGTACTATTAATAATGTACAATTAACAATAATTACCCTCCAAACTAATACGAGTTACTTCTATTCTTATTTGGTTGGTATCTAAACATTCATTTTCCAGATCTTTTCCAATATATGTATACCAGGTCACTAGCCAAAACCCCACAGTCCTGTTCCCTTAACACGATAAATTTCATTCACCAGATAGGAGCTGGTTTTCAACAATGTGAACAGATGAACATAGTAATACAAGTCAATGAACAATTATGCAGTACGTTTAAACATTTGTTTTAAACAAAATGCACATATTATTACTACAATTTATCTAATCATTTGGGTCAAACATTTGAGAAACTATCAATACGAATAGAATTGTATTTGCGACATTGTCTTTTAGAGCAAACCCATTTTAGTGTAATGCAATTTAATGTCGTAACTTGACTGTGGCCACATACCCTTTGATCACATATTATTCCTTTTTCTTTGAAATTAATAACTTCTTCCTTGCTTTTGTAATTTTCAGTGAGCCTGTAAAAATTCATTCTGGCACTTTTAATAACAAATTACAACAATTAAATTGTTTCATAAACAAATCAAAAGAACCATCTAACACCTGGGATATGATATTGACCACTGAACCAGTGCATTTTCCCCACCAAAAAAAGAACCATTTCTAATAATCAAGGGAACTGAATTATATGGCTAGAGAATTGGTACAATGGAAAATCCTTTTTTCTTAATTAACTGCTGACTTGAAATGAATCCATGGTCGTTTATTGACGTTGCTAAGGATATTAAATTTCTTTACATACAGAAGGGTTAAAGTGCACCTAACAAACCTCTAGGGTAGCAGGTTAACAAGGGTTAAAGACTCATGTGATTGATAAAATATTTTTTGTTGTTTATGATGATAAACATTAGCTCTTATCAAGCAACCATCTAAACAAAGAATTAAAAGAGCATCTCCAGCTACCACTGTTAAAATATTCTAGACCATTAAAAATAGTTTAGTGGACTTTCGTGTTTTGAATTTTACCACAGAACATAAACTTTTGGATAAATAAGTTGTTGCCACAAAAATGATTTTTTGTGAATAAAAGTAAAATAATTTATTTTTACAACAGTTTTATATATAAATGTATTAAAGGTATAATTTTTGAACATTCTAATGAATGTAATGCCATTTCAAGCCATGACATTTACACTACCATCGTTAGTATTACAAGAAATCAATTCTAAAATTTTTTGTCCCCCTTTTTCCACCTTGTCCCGTATTTTCCCCATTTTGTCACCTTGCCCTGTGTCTCTTTGTCCGCATCCCATTGCCCCCTTTCCCTATTTTATCTCTTTGTCTCATGTTTCATTTTGCCCCACTGTCCCCTTCTTTTCTCTTTTCAATTTTGTTCCCTTCCCTCTTTGTCCTCCTTTCCTTGTTTTGTCCCACTTGTCTCCTTTTGTCCTTTTGGTTCTTCTATGAACTGTTTGTTATTTAAAAACTCTGTTATTCAACACCCTGTACTAATCCCTTGCAACAGAACATTGAGAGTAATGACAATTCTTAACCCATGAAAGTGTTAAATGTTTATTTTGAATAACTAGAAATAACAAAAAACACTGTAAGTAACACATGCTCTATTAGTCTTTAAGGACTAATTTAGAGGACGTGTAACATAAATAACTTTTGAAGTTATTACATTGGTTAAAAATAATATCTTTTATCTTCCAAATTCCAAATATTAGAACGCACCTGACTGACAAGTGTTTGCACCAATTCAGATTATGATGCATATACAATGAGTTTTCATTACATCATTATAGTGTAGAAAGATTCTCCATGCAAGTTCGAGTGAAAGAAAGAACAAAGATATGTTGTGTTGGAACAGAAATTATATCAGAATAAAGCAAATTGAGTGTTTTGCATAACTTAATAATTTATATGCTTGAATAAGCTGCTAATGATGGACAACACATTCAAATATACCATATTTACCACAACATAAGAAGAGTTTGTTTGTTTATTTGTTGTTTTTTGCTCCTGAAATTTCATTAGAAAAGTACAGGATCATCTTACATTCAAAGATTATGCCTAATGGTGAAGATTTATTTTTACATTGCCTCTCCATGTCTCAAAACTTTTAAATATTGGCTTAACAATAAGCTGCCAAGACAATAAAAAAAATTATGTACAATACATTATTATTCAATTACTATAAAAACATATTAACAATATATTCTCGGGACCACCTCACATCCACCACAAATTTGGTGGACGATTCAGACTAATATTTTTTTAATGGGATGGTAAAGAAAGTATCTCTAACAAATGGCATTGCATCAAGTGAAATATGACATGAAAAATGAATAAAAATCTTTGCTGAGATTTGATTACATGAAGTTCTAATTGATGAGGCCATGCAGACTCTTGCTTTGAAGCTTAATGAATGAGAATTTGTTTTGCAAGAGATGGAAATGAAAAAAAATCTACATTAATATATGTATTCCACATGAAACCACAGGAAAGGGCAACAAAAAACTAACATTTTCTTAGCAAAAACGTCCCACACTTGGAACTGACCCCCATTTCAGCAGCAAAATGGAGCAGTATGAGTTTGCAGTTCACAAGTCTATCACACGAAAATTAAACAATGCAAATTTTAAGTATACAGTGGAATGTCTATTATCAGGACTGTATTTTTTATTTTATTTTTTTATTTTATTTACTATTTTTGCAATAAACATATTGCAGTTTCTCAACCACAGTATATTAAATGTTTAATTTTACTATTGTAAATGGTTATTAGTTTAAAATAATTTCTTACATATTTTAGAATCTTATTCACAGTTGCTGCACTTCAGATTCTGAAATTGAGCTCTTTGATGTTTAAGGTGAGACTATAGACAATTTCAGTATACAGACGAGAACTGGCATTGATTAGTTCGGATAATCAACAATCTACTGCATATGACTGTAATCTGTTACAGAATGTGAAAGAAAGGTCAATGGATCAGAGGCCATTAACAGGAAAAAATCTGGTTACACAGAAGGGATTGTCCTTAGGTGGCATCAGATGAAAGACCAACACTAATTCAACACATAAAACTTTACTGGGGGCCTAAAACATCAGAGGCTGCTGCCATAAGGGAGGACCAAAAAAAGAAGAAGTGTAATATATGTGAAGATAAAGAGAGTAGAGACAACAATCATTATTGTAATGATTTTAAGGAACAACAAAATAGCTCAGACAATAAATTTCATAATCTTCTTTGACACATCAATTTTCAATTAAACTATTTGAAATTTTATTTTACCTAAATTAATGGAATTGGTTAGAAAAAATTTAAATTCTCAGAAAGTCTTTTCAAATTTAGGGGGTCATCTTATTTTCAAAGTCAACTTATATTTGGGTAAATACAATACTAAATGATCAATTGGTGATGTGATGAGCCTATTTAAATAATATAATTTATTATTAAGCATTTTGCCATTACGGTAGAAAATGACAAGTTATTAAAAATACTTCATCGCCATGTTGCTAAACAGAACAAGCAGGGAAGCTCAAAAATATTTTGACATCTGCATTTTAGGCATTCGCCTTTCTAAATGATGTTCTCAAGGAAATTCCCTCAAGCAAACACGGTATTTAAAGGGACCTCCCAAACCACCGGCATGCACAGTTCTACCTGTAGAGGGCAACGACGCCGTACCACCCCCCACATCGACACATGTGTGACAGCCTCTTAGAGAAGAAAACAAGCGACATGACTACCAGCAACAGCGAAGATGCCCGCCGAAGAACTGGAGGCAAAAGGTAAAATGCAAACGGCCGACATGAGGGCACTCAACATTCTTGTCATCGCTCCATTACGCTTCCTTCTCTCTCACTCTTTCATTCCTGGTGTTTCCATGTATAGTAACTTCAGAAATGATTAAGCAATTAAACTTAACTTAAGAAACACATCATGACTATTTCTTCTCCAGCCATAACCCCCTCCCCCTTCCGACCACTCTGATTATTTCTCACGTGACATCCTCTCCTTCGTGAATACGCTGATTAGACAGCATTTGCATAGGAGGGGACGGCACAGTAATAAAGCCTCAAACACCCATTTTCAAATCATCCCTTAAAATTCCAATTACAGCCTGACTAGGCCACCCAAATAACATGGAGAAAACTTTTCTTAAAATCATGTGTAGTTCCCTCCCATTTTGGACTATGACACAAATACTGATTCTTTAAGAATAAATTATTCTCTAAGTACTTTTACGTGAGCTTTACACTACACTCGCACTTAACTTCAGAAAATGTACATGCCTTACTGAAAGAATTAATTATGGGCAACAAATTTCATTGAAAGGAAAAATCTTTTTCTTCAATTTTGGAGTTGTAGGAAAATGACGGAAAAATTCAAACTATTCCACATATATAAGTGTATTTTACTCTATTTTTAAAAGAAAAATAAAAATTGAAGCTGTTTTTGAGAAAATTTTGTAAATGTCCAAGGGGCTTTATGTAAAGTACCCCAAATTGTGAAGAAAGTTTTTTGAAAACGCAGTGCCTTGAGTCAAGCCAGATCAACCGAGGAATATCAATTTTGGAAAAATCCTATGTATGGTTTAGGCTCTAGTAGGGTTCACATATTGACAGATGTTTTGAAAAAAGCAACGTTTTCACTGTCTATTGATTCTTGAGTCTCTGCATCATTACACATCGATTTTCTGCAGCACTACACAACTTTCTCTATTCTACATATATACATTTGTATACAAGAAAGTAATTATTGTAATTGTGTAAATAGTGTTAACATATATAACACTATTTACACAATTGGACCATTTAGATAATGATGCCGGCTGTATGAAGTTGTATTTTTGAAATGTAATACCAAGTAAACAAATGATACAGTATATTGGAGGTGAGGTGAAGAATACAGTGCAACTTGAGTCATTTAAACTGCACTTAACTTATTGTTTAAGTGCTGGACTAATGCAGAGCAGGGTGCACATGAACTAATCAAAGAGGCTCTTCTGGACACTAGTGTTAAAGGCACAGAAGTGCAAAAGTGCAAGAAAACAATCAATAGTCATCATCAATTGATGAAATCTCCTCAGTGCATGCAGGTTGGGTGCTAAGGGTAAAATATAGCTTTTCACAATGATCTTATTCTAAAATTTGTGAGCAATAACCAACGAGAAAAATGTTTACCATATATAATATAAACATACCTGCACAATACCACCAGTATATTGAGCAATTGATTCATCTACACTGAATGTGCTACCAGGAATAATAAGTCCAGAATCTTCTTCCCAAATAGGTTTTTGCTCGACAAAGTACTTTTGTACAGATTCAACTAAAGCAGAATGGTCAACACCAACTCCAGCAATTACCATGCGCTTCGGAGTGTAATGATGTTTCAAAAATGTGAAGAGCATATTACGAGTAATTTTTTCAGTATTTTCTTCTGGACATATTTTTGGCAAACCTAATGTATTATCACGATATGCAGCCTGCAAAAATAATAATGATAATAAGAAAATTGATTTGAGCTATGGAAAATGCCATTATGACACAATGTTCAAGGAATTTTAAAAATATTTAACTTATCATAAAATATAAGTAATCATTCTCAAATTCATTAATTGGGGGAAAGAAAGAAGAAAAACACTTTTTCCATAAACACTATATAATGTAGTTTCAAACATTAATACTGTCAATTGTTCATGAAGTTTTATTATAGAATGAAAGTAGTAAGTAAACAACACCTAATATAAATTTGATTGGCGCACATGGATAAAAATTACAATGATTTTAGTGAAATTGTAAGTTTTAAATGAGTATGGTAATTAGTACCAAAAGCCATTAACGCTCTACAAAGGTAACTCAACAGAACAAAAAATTCAGGCCAAGAAAAGTAATTACGTTTTATTAATAGTACACTTTTTACAACAAAGCAGTATATTTAAGAAAGAAAAAAAGAGAGAGACAGAAAAGGAGAAAAAAACACAAAAATTATGTATCCTTAAAAAAATTTACTCACAGCATGAATCATATCCATTAAAATATGTTCCTGTTCTGGACGCATTAACAAAGTTTCCAACTCAAATCTTATAGCTTGCCGAGCCATATCCATCTATAAAAATAAAAAAAAGAATGGTAAATAAAATACTTCATGTTGTTAAATTAAATTCACTGTACATTTTCATGATTATATATCATGTTTCTTACTTCTGCAACAGATATTTGAGGGCGTAGGACTATCTCTCCCAACACTTTTATAACTGGATCCAAACCACGTGAATCTGCTGAAGCAGCGTACACAAATGTGTCTCTACAATAAAAACAAAACATTGGGAACCACTTACCATGAAACAACTTCATTTCCTCCACTCTCATTTGCAACACAATCATGAGACATCTTTACATTAATTTCCTTACCTAGAGGATTGACAATCACATATTCCACCATGCTTTTCTAATTCGTATAAAATCTTGTCTTTATCAGAATACTCAGTTGTGGACTGAAAGAAAAAACAAAAGTCATTACTTTTCAATTTCAGAATACATTTTCTGCAATTTAGTAAGGAAAATTGGTGAATGTGTTTTATATCCTAAAGAGATAACATTTGGTGCAGAATGTAAGTAAAACCAAAAACTTCCTTTTCAAATGAAAGTACTAAAAACACTGCAGCAGATTATTCTAACAAAGCATTGCATAAACAAATGCTTTATCTAAACCATGATTTCTTACATAAAAAAAGATAATGATGTTTTATTAAATTAAGGTTTAAAGTACAGATATCCCACTGCAAATATAAAAGAAATAAAAGTAATATTTCATCTTTTTAACCTCCACATATATTTACCTTTTTTTTTAACACAAATGGTTGACAATTGATCAAAAATAAAATATCAACTTACAACCAAACTAAAAAGAAACACGAGTATGGGAGAATGGGGTTATAAGATACATTTTTGTTAGTGTGTTTTCTTTTTTTTATGGCTGTAAAATTCTGAAACAAATTGGTATTAAAGCTTCCAATGGCATCTTTTGACACAATCATTTTCACACCAGAAAATAAAAATGGAGTGAAAGTGAAGTATATGCGTGTATATTAAGTACACATATTTTTGAAATTTTAACTGATAACAAGGAAGAATTGTTGAGTTTGCATTTTATTACACGCAATGGGGTATTATCACAACACTGTTGTCTGAGAGCAATAATAAACATAAAAATTATCATCATTTGATTCAATGCATATAAAATTTTGTACATTAACACTTTACAGTTAGGGGTTCCATCAAACAATATTACCATTTTTAATATTATAAGAATCTTATTATCCCCTCTCCCATAATTGAAAATCTTTCTACACCAGACACATCTTAGAAACATTTCAGAAACTAATATTAACTTTTAGGGAGAGGTAAATAAACATATACTTACATTGAAAGCTAATTTTTCCAAAAAATGTGATATACCACTTGGATAAGCAACTTCATATCGAGGACCAGAATCTATCACAACTGTCAATAAAACAATTCAAGCCCATAAAATCAACAGTCACGTTTGTAAAATATTTTAACTTACAATTAATTGAATGACATTACCTCCTACAGTGCAAAACTGTCCAAATCGATTTTCAGAAGCCACTTTCAACCCATTGGAAAGCGTTGTGACCTGTGTTGTATGGTGTTCTTCTTTCAGAGATGCATACAATGGAGCAGGCAGACCAGGTAATGGTTCAGAAAGTGGTGTATTTGCTTGAATAGCACTAAGTGTATCTACATCTGTACTTTTAGATGAAAATTTACATACATTCCATGAAGCCCAATTGATGCACTTTCGTCTGAAAATACAATGAATTAAAGGTGAAGACAAAACCAAACCAAATTTACGAGAAAATTAACTGTCAAGAGGCATAGGTACAATTAATTTTCGTAAATATAAATCAATTTCATCACTCACGTGTGTTCTTTCAGGAACAGAGATCCCAAATTAGCAACATGCATACGTCCAACCATGGCTGTAAACAAAGTGGTTGTTGACCAAGAATTGTGCAGCCAAGTAGCATATACTTGTAACAATGTTGTTAACGACTTTTAAATCCGTTCACCTAAGATTTCGAAGATAGATTTCTCAACTCTATACTATACATACTATCGGTCGGCTTTTGCGTCAGTCCAAAATGCAACCACAATATACCATACTTCTATCAAAGACCACTAGATGTCACCACAATCAGCACACACTTCAATGTTGCCACACTAATCTCGTGCTGAAACAAAAACAAATACCCTTCAAAGGTCGGCGCACTCTATTTCATAATAATGAGGCTAAACTTCGTCTGATAATTCATTTTGAAGGCCATTTATAATATTTAACACGCAATTTTTGCCTTTCTGCCTCTCGTTACTTTACTCCCAAATACCAATCAATTCCAAATATTTTTAATAGCGCGGATTTCGAAACAATTCCATGGAGGGCGTAACAGCATGGGTGTTACGCTATGGTAACAAAGTACACTAGTGTGCTTACAAGACATCGACATCCGAAACGTCTTTGATAGGAACACCTTAAAAGTTGCCAATTGGTGAAAAAATTAGATTCGCAAAGTTTCAGCTCTCTCAAATAACATTTCAACAGCCCCAACATTAAAAAAATCAAGGTTTCCTCTAAAATCAAGTGTTTTCGCAATATAATGAAAACGATATGTCATCGAATTGTGTTATTTTATTTTTTAATGTGCTTTTAGTTTTGTAGAGAATTCCACTTATCCTCACAACGTTTTTGACTAACGTACAAATCATGATATGTGGGATTCTCGTGGACAGGGAAAATTGCGTTTTTAGGCATACTTTTTTCTACTTTTTGTTTCAGTTTATGTTTAGCATCAAATAGCTCACGTAAGACGTTTTATAATTATATAATTACGACCAGGTGACTGAAAAGAACTGGGATAAATGGATGAGATAAGAAAATATTGGCATACAAATCCATAATCAAACCAAAAGTATTAATATAAACATCCTAGGAATATGTTATTTTTAGTTATTTAGGCCATGGGTATAGTTTTAATTTCTGACCTAACAACTTCTTGGAAAGGAATAATGGAAAGGATTGGAAGAAATTATGTTTTTACCTAGACGACGTGATAAATCGTGCCTTATGAAAAGAGTGGAGAAGGAATCAGACTATCCGAACGCCGAAACTTCAGAACTAAGATTTCCTTCCTCTTCCTTGTTCTTTCGTCACTCCTTATTGATACACACATTCACATGTACTACATTACCACACGTGTCGGAGCTTAGTGTTAGAAATGTAAACTCGTGTTAAACACACTCTGTTAAAATTTTAGCCTCCTGGTATTAATAGTTTTTGAGAAAATGTTCTCTAAAGACGAAATTTTTTTTTTACGGGAAATGGATCCTAAAGTTTTCAATGCATTCCTGGTCCATATGCTGGGCAACACAAACACCGATATTTTGACGCTATTCAACGCTCTATCGTTACCAGAAACAGTGTGTTCAACAATAGCAAGCAAACTATTAACTATTATTCGAAACGAGAGCAGAAAAACGTTTAAGCAACACCCACGATGTGTGAAAACGCCCAGGCCGACTTCCACGTTACATAACTTTCAACATTTTAAAAAACCTTAGAGATGGCATATTAAGATGAAACTTGACTTGTTTAACACAGAAAACTATACGTTAATTTATGATTCAAAAAAGTAAAAAAATATATTCTCATCATTTTGATCCATTCTGACTCCCAGGAGCAGCCACCTCCGCTAGTTATCTTTCACCAGCGTGGCACCACCCCAGCTAAACAAGCTCTAACACTAAGCTCCCGACATGTATGGTAATGTGCATGTGAGTGCGTGAATCAGTAAGGAGCGACGGTAAATTGGAAATTATTTTTTCCATAAATATTTCAAATATACACACAAGAAAAAAATATATTTCCAATTTAAAACTAAGTACTAAATTCTTTTTGTATTATAAAAAAAGTGCTGACTTGTCATTGTAGAAATAGCATATGCCAGTCATTTCACCCATTAATATAGTTATTAAGTTTTCTTAGAATCCGTATTAGAGAAACGAATCACTAACCAAGATAAAAAGTTATATTGCGTTTCTCTTTTGCATAAATAAGTAGACGGCGGTGGCGGAAGGAAAGAGAAAGGAAGGAAAGGGAAAGAAAGGAAAGGAAAGGAGTGGGAAGAGGATGAGAGGGAAGGGGAGGGGAGGGGTGGGGAGAGGAGGAATGGTAAGGGAAAGGAAGTGAAGAGAGGAGAGGAGAGTTCTTTTGAATGTAATTACCGAATAAACTTAATTAATCCCGAGTCTATCGCTGACGATGCTTCTAGTTACTGCCCACTCTGGGGCCCTAAGACTAACATCCGTTGAATAGCCAAATGTCGACAAGGTGACATTAGCTCGGCTTCTGAGCAGGTATGGGACATTGGTAGAACAAGGCACTTTAAGGTTCATTTCATTTCTAGATCTATCCATTTTGCTTATTGGTTAAAAAGGGAAGTTTTGCGGGAAGCAAGTTCGGGTTCACAGATCACACATAACCCATGGGTTATTTCCTGTCATCCGTTACTACGACTCAGACATCCCCCCGCAGGGCCCAGCAAGGGGTTCCTCTGATCGCCTACGAGATGTTCACTGACGGCTGTAGATAGCCTCCTTCGCTGGCTACGCTTGGGTTTTCGTAACGCGGCGCGTCAGGGACTGTCTCCACGATGCAACATCTCACGGCATTTCGCGACTTTCTCGGTCGTGACGGTAAATGTTGCATGATCGCGACCGTATCAAGCAGTGCGATGTGTCTAGCAGCACGACATATTCCATCGTGAAGACATTCAAGTAATAAAAACTCAAGTATAATGCAAGGTTGAGCCATCATTCTAATCAGTGGCCTGGTGTAAAACCCCAGTTTCTCTCCTGTACCCTCCATGGGCCGGTTCACGACCCTTCCCGCTGTACTTACTTCTCTGTCGACTGAGCCACTCCGAACATGGGGTCAGATGCTGCAGTTGCTTGCTGCAGTTTTGTTCGAGGTGCCTCTTCCACCATCTTCATCAATTCTTGCTTCTTCTTCTTCTTCTTCTTCTTCTTCTTCTTCTTCTTCTTCTTCTTCTTCTTCTTTTCTTCTTCTTTCTTCTCTTCTCTTTCCCTTTCTGCTTCTTTTTCTTCTTCATCGAAGATACCGTTGAGGCTCTCCTCTGGATGAATTTTTCATCTGACCCTCCCGTCAACTTATTCAGCAAGGGAGGCCCTACGCAATAGCTAAGCTACCGCTGACATAGCTCTCAGGTTCATTGCTCACTCAAGCTTAGCTTCACCACCGACTACAATGGCGTTACTCCTTAGGTTAGGCGTTGTTGTTATTGTTAATATATTGTTGTTATTTTGTTATTATTATTATTATTATTATTATTATTATTATTATTATTAATACTTTACATGAAGCCTGAAAATTTTCAAAACGTTCACAAAAATATCCTCTGATTTTTCTTTCACCCCCACAGATATCTATGACATGTGACCTACGCCCTTTCTTAATGCGTCTTCTGCTCTAGATTAAAAGAATAAAGAAATGGAACAGGTTGCATTTTCGTTCAACTCCCTGAATTTTCGAAAATTACAAAATTACAAACATTTTTCTTATACTCAGAATAATTACAATATAATTTCATTCTCTAATAAAATCTGTTCTTCAAACGTAGATATTCAAATAACATCACGTTCAATTTTTCGAAAATAGTAGTTTTGGCGAATTATCCCTAAAACAGACAAAATTTTGAAAAGTTTAAACAATGTTCAAGATCTTCATCCAGGTAAGACATAAATATAGGGTCACTGAACAATAGGAGAACAATGGGATTTTTTCCAATTTTCCCTACAGTGCATAAGTTGTATTTTTCGGTGGTAACTTTGCTCCCGGTTCTTTCTTTTGTTCCATGTAATTTAAAGGGTTTGGCGAGTTTATTTTTAATATTATATTGGGAAATAATTTCATAAGATAATGAAAATTTCTGCCAACATGAGAAACAATCCCCTGAGTTAAGGCGAGGGTATTTATAAAAAACATGAAATTAGTACGTAAGTTTGTAACTAATTAAAAAAATATTTTGTATGCCAGAATATTTTCTTTTCAAACTTGAACAACATTCACAGTCAAGAAAATAAATGCAATACAGGAGTCATAAAATATTTAATAAAGATTTCATGTTTACTGACAGTAAATAAAAAAGGCAACATTATAGTGGAAAATATCATTTCAATCATATCGTACAGTATAGAGTTCTTTTACTTTCGCTGCATGTTTCTTGAATAGTTTAAACCATATTTTTCCTTCTTCTTTGCACGATGTGACATACTTCGATGCCATCAGATTACATTTTGCCACATAATCCTCGAACTCCTAAAAATATATAAAAACAAATATAAACTAACATTGTATATATTCTATTTTTCATATTTAGAAAATTTCAATCTTTGTTTGAACTACATTACAACCTTCAAATTTAGAAAAATTTCAAAAAACAATATTTGTAGTCCCTGATTTGGGAAAAGAATAACGCTTCTTTTAATATTCTAATACCACAAGTGTTTTTAACGAAGTGGACATAAGAGTTTAGGCGAGTTTTATGGACTTTTTGGTTGCAGAATATGTTAATATTGACGCCAAATAATTACAATGTGGTAGGAATACTAGTAGAGAACTATAAGTGCAATGCGGAAATTTTGAGAGAATTTGTTCGTGATTATACCGGCCAGCTTTAATGTACTTTAGTTTTTTAAGCTCTCATGAAAACATCAATTTCATACCTCCTCCGACATTGAGAGCAGTGCAGCGACGTTGCAGGGAAGCATGTCTGATTCTTCACATTCTCCTTCCATTGATGCGTACTCAGGGACACCTGTAGTGCTTTCTTCAAACTGTCCATCTACTGAAGTTGCAGTGCGGATATTTTTTATTTGCTTTTTAACAATTTCCTCGATTTTTTCACCTTGATCAATGCTCAACCGAAAGACAGGAGGAACTTTCGGACCTTCAGCCGGATCTATCAGCGTTGGCACATTGTGGAAAAAAACAATAACAAATGAAAACAATAACACAAATCATGATGGAAATTTCCATTATGAGTAGAATTAAATAGTGGATGTAAATAATGGATCTCAATCTGACAATGAATTTTTGATTTTACTATTTTGGAGAATACATTATTTAATAATGATTCTAAAAAGCAAAGGCAAACCGATATAATTATTTCTATTATTAAATCAAAATGTGTACCAATCAGGCTGGTTTTGTCCCAACATGTATCTTTTCAGATTATCGCCTCTGACATTCTTAGAATGGCCGTTTTTCAGAAATGATTAAGTGCCGAGCACTTGAAAGATGGTTGGATGTAACTACATAGAAGTTGAAGAAACATCACCCGTCATATTTTCTAATTAAATATTTTTTGTGTTATTTAATACCGAATTAATAAAACGAGAGCAATGCATTGCGCGCTAATTTTGTTACATCATGATATTATAAGCGAGTAAAAATATATACTAGTTACAATATTTCACTTTTGTGTTTTTACGCCAATTCGTGGTGATACTCGTCTAACTCATACTCATACTCATACTTTGCCCTTCTAGTACTATTTGACATGAACTTGTTACTTTATATTATCCATAACGAAGTTTTAGGACTCGTTAATGAGGTTAATCTTTATCTAAAAATGCGTATATCTTTGCGTTTTACTATTATATTGAAGACGTACAACTGCAGCAAAACGTGAGCAAAACGCAGAAATTTGAACTCTTGATAGACACTTAAACCAGAGAGATATTACTTTCTAACGTAACATAGACATCGTTTACATAGAAGTGCATTTAAATAAGGGAAATTGAGATACAGACCTGGGGTAGAAACTTTCTTTGCACTATCTCGTTTTTGTTTGGGTTTGTGATCTTTAAAAACTTTCGATGTTCTTGACTCTAAACTCTTCGTCCTCTTGCCAACTTTTTTGAGGACAGGAGGAAGGAACGTTCTGGCGTTTATTCCTTGAATGACTTCTTCGACTTGTCCTGTTAAATTGCAATTGAGGCGCGTGGAAACAAAAAGGGATTCGAGCAATCTGTCTAAGACGATGCGGAGGCCGTCGCTGTCACTTTTGTAGGCTTCAATTCTTTCTTCCATAAATTGCTAATAATATACGAAATAATATAAAAAATGTAATATCAATTGGACATAATGTGATTAAATGTTAAAATACAGTATGCCTCTGGCATTTGTTAGAATAAAACACAGACAATTTACATTAAAAGAAAATGCTTTGAATACTTTAAGGTTGTAATGATTGTCTTAAGTAGATAATTGTATTTTACCATGCCTTTTTGAAGCTGAAAATGTTTCTTGAATCAGAAAACACAGCTCAGCCATCTAAGACCACTATGCACACGTACAAGATATCAAAATTTAAAGAATTTTTCATAAGGAAAGCTTCTTAATAAATACTCTTTCCTAAAGTAACGTTTATCTGACAAATACAGTATATGAATGGAAATGTAAGGGAATGACTGGAAATACAGTTAAAGCATTTCAATGCATTGATTGACTATTAAAAAGTACTGGTTTTCAATTTTTTTCTGATTTTAAATTATCAATTTTAGTGCAATCATTATCACATTCATAAGTAAAACATTAAGTTTAACTTGTGGTTCGAAACGTTATGTAACGGTAAAGATGGAGTAATATACATCAACTTTTAGGGAGAAAAGGTCGATAAGGTTTATCGCTATTTGCTTTAGTTTTCACGTTACTAAAAGTTTCATAGTACAAGACGTGGCTTGTACTGTTTATTCCATCCTTTTCTCTCTGGCCGCAAAGCATACGCCTTTCGAATGGCGCAGCATTTGAAATCGCGGTCGAGATTTTCAACAGTTGCAACACCGACCGCATTATTACGCTCATTCTTAAGCGCATAGACGCCTCCAAAGAAGGTGCACACATTTTCTCAATGCCTATTTTGTCGGGCACTACTGATAAAGGAGTGCATGGTTAGATTGTTACAGTGAAGAAGTATGGGCATTCATAAATGTTTCCTTCGGAAATTTAGACGAATTTGTCTTCGTATTTGCACATTACGATATCTTGCAATTTGAAAGGTAAGAAATTAAGGTCTCTACAGCAAGACAATCTATAAGCACCCGACAGGCCCCCCGGCGTGTGCGGTAGTGTAGTGCGTGCTACTGTGTGTGTAAGGGATGAGGATAAGAGAAGGAAGAGGTAGGAAAGATTGCAGGCGGTCCGTGACCTATTTGGTAGGGTACTGCTCTTCCGGCATTCTGCTGGTATTGATTGGAGAAATCTACCGATCAGAGCAGCTAGCACTGAGTTCGACCTAGTTCTGTAGCTAGTGTCGAAAATCGTGCCGCCGTCGGGACTGGAATATACGGCCTCCCGTTCAGAGGACTGCAGCGACATTAGTGAGCCATCTCTCCCGACCGGGGCATGGTTAGCGGGAGGCTTAAATAGAGCGGAAGGTGTTGAGCGGCGACATGAAGGCGAGGGCGGGGTGGCCATGTCAGGCCAATTGGGCGTGCGGGAGACAGGCTGCTTATTACGGAGTGTGAGAAATACCTGACAAAAACGGGTCATCGGACGGTTTCTTCAGAATAATAATTCGTACTTAGTTTATCATTAAAATCCATTGTCCTTCATATCTCTCCATCATCATATCTTTCTCTCCTCTACCATTTCATTCGTAATTCTATACATAATAATCCTACCTCTTTCCCTCTTTCCATTTATCTTCCTATATTTATCTTTCACCTTTCTCACCCTCTCTGATCCTTTTTATCAGGATCTCATGCTAGCACTTCCTGCGCTCTACCTCCATACATTTTTTCAATACCTGATTTCCATGACCTTCCTCAATCCCCCATTTCTGCATAATTAATTATCGCTTTTTCCCTTTATCTACTAGCTCTCGTCTTGGTCCCTATCGTCACGCTTGCAATTGTTTCATTTCTTCAAGTACTATGGTAATCGTCTTTCCTGTATAATCTTATATACTTCATTATTTTTTAATTCCATATCCATATCTCCTGTTTTTACACATCATCACTTTTTTCAATAAATCTCAGAGCATTATTCGTCACTCTCCTCTAAAATCTCTATCTTGCAAGTCTTCTATCATCATAAAAGTTCTCTCTTTGATTTTTCCTCGAAACTCATCGCCCTCTTACCTTCGATCGTCCTCACTTTAGTCCATCTCCTTTCTCATCAAGTGTCCTGGCGTACAGTTATTGTCAAGTCTCGATTTAATAAACGTATCTTTAAACATATCTACACTCCAAATCATTCAACCTCATGCTTCCGCTCCCCACAATACGACTGAGCCAATCAAGTCAATGATTCTGAATCTCTCCCACTATCTCGTACATTTTTCCCTTCCTATGTCCCACACCTAAACGTTACAGGCCCTATTGTTGACCACAGACGGACGAACAGACGTTTTGTTGTAAACCAACTTTTCGTAATTAAGGACCCGTCCCAGACCACATGCATTTTGACTACACAATGTGATAGAGGAAATAATTCACTTCATAAAAAACAAGAATTGTGTGTGTTTACATATATATATATATATATATATATATATATATATATATATATATATATATATATATATTTACATATATATATCCGTTTTCGCTGCAGCATTACAAACACTTTCTCTATACTAGATAATATGCAAGAAAGTTTTAAAAAATCTTATTTGTGACAGCCCCTACGCACAGGCAATTTGCCATACACATGCGTCGAGAGGGTAGCTCAACTCTCAGGCTTTTCTCAAGGGGTCGTCCATAAATTAAAACAAACAAAATAAGAAAGAAAGAAAGAAAGAAAGAAAGAA